TCAGTTCATAAGTTAAGTGGAATATAAGAACAAAGTTGAACACGTTGTTAGGAACTGTAAAGATTCACAAATTAATCGCTTTAATTAATTTTTTTTTGCAAATAAAAATTTCCTCGATTTACGGGCACAAAATACTAGCAGTGATAAAATAGAACTAATCACTATTACTGTCCTTGTTGAACTAATCATCACTAACTTATTGTTCTCCTTGACTATAAACATAGTTATATGCTGCCATCTATTAGGTTCAAAACAACTATTTAACGATAAAAGCTATACTGCCATCTATTGGATATTTCCTTTTATCCTTTTAGTTCCAAATGGATCTGAAAAGTACTTAGATGGCAACATCATCGATAGACAAGGAAAACACTAATGTACAACGAGGACAACAATAGATTATTTTTAGTTCCACCACAATGCTGGCATTTCGATGTTCGTAAATTAAATTTTCATTTGCGAAAAAAAATTAATCAAGAGAATTAATTTATGAACTTTTTATGATTACATCTTCCAAATTAAATCAAACTTGTTTGTTATGTAATTTAGAAATTGATATGAGATATTAGAAATATACGTTTAACGATAAATTGGCAGTTTGTAGAAAATTGTAGAAAATGTGTTAAAATAAAATTAATTTGTTTAATTAAATACTGTACAAACATATCATGTGAGCATAGTTACGTTCATAAACAGTAATAAATTAATAAATAATGAAATGACAAAGTAAAAGTGAAAATAAATATTTTAGAAAAATGATAACAAAATTTTTTTTGAATAACCAATTTTCCAATGCATAAGATTAATACTATGTAGATAAAAATTTTAAACACCATTGATGGATGCAAGATATTCATTGTATCTCTTCTCTTGCGCTTGCTGCAATTTCTGTAACTTTTTCATCTGTCCTTTACTAATTTCAGTACCGTCAATGTAATGCGTTGGTATACCCTAAACAAAATAATTCCTTAAGTATTATAAAAAGGAATGCATCACTATTATACAAATTTACGTACATTGCTATCAAATTGAGAATATTTATTCTTCTCTAATGTAAACATCTCAGAAGGAGGAATCTTTTTCTGCGCTTCTTTTACTGCAGTTTCCGCTTTCCTCTTTTCCTTTTCCAACGTTCTTTCCAACTCCATTTGCTTCTTATGCATTTTCTCTTTTAATAGTTCTTCTCTATTTACTAATTTAATTTTACAAATTTCTTTATTACTATCCTCCAAACGAACTCCAATATTTGGTAAAATATCATCACGTAATGTATCGCATTGCTCGAGAATACTACTGGCTTTTAAGTCTTTAGCGTTATTTCTAACTTTTTCACGGAAATTTGCCAAAATTTCGAGATACGGCATAACAACCTCTTCGACCTTTAATAAAATTCGTGAATAAAGAATCAAGATATAAATAAAAGGGAAATAAAAATATATAAAACGTACATTTAAATTCGTGGTACTGTTGTCAACTGGAAAACCAATATTATCGTGCGATGATATGACACCAAATATAGTAAATATTTTTGTAATATAAACTGCGACATCTCTAAGCAATAATGTATTCGGTTGTTTAATTTCTTTCATGTAAATATTGCAATGTGTCACAAGATCTCTAATCGCATCAAGCGTACTCCTTGTATCAATATTGTCTACAATCATTTCATTCAATATATAACAATAAATTATATATTTAATATACAATTACAATACACAATATTTATAAATGTTTACTTACCACATAATGCATTATGTATTAAATTCTTGACATGATAAAATTTTTCATTTAATTCCACCTCAGACTTCATCCATTTAGTAAAAGTATTAATGTTTGTCTCTGAACCCAAAGACCTAATTTTACATTTTACGTTTAAAAAAAATTCCTATAATATATAAATAAAAATAAAGTTTAGTATAAAAAGTTTTACGTACTTTATATTATTGAATATTAAGAATTCATCAAATATTATATACAAATATTTATATTTACATTTAGGAACTTTTCATACTGAATGGCCATATGCATGGTATCATCACTATAATCTAATGTATCCTTCCATGAATGCAAAAGAAACGCAAGCCTAAGTTGTCTTGCTGAATGTTTTTTTAATGCATCTTGTATAGTAATGAAATTTTTTAGCGATTTTGACATTTTACATCCTGCTATGGTCAAATGACCAGAATGAAGAAAATATCTAACCCAATTGGAATTATTATAGTATGCTTCTGCTTGTGCTATTTCATTATCATGATGAGGAAATTTTAAATCTATTCCTCCAGTATGAATATCTAAACTTTCTCCACAAATTATAGATGCCATGACTGAACATTCTATGTGCCAACCTGGTCGTCCTTTGCCCCAAGGACTTTCCCACCAAGGTTCTCCTTCCTTTGAGCATTTCCAAAGCGCGAAATCAATTGGTGATCTTTTTTCAGATACCTTTGAATTACTTAAATCTCCTAATAAAAACATTTTTATTTTAAATTTAATATAATTATTTCTTCAAAAAAAAATGAATTTTTACCTTCTCCTTCTTGCAAACTTGATGTATCACCATATGCTTCTGGGACAAGTTTAGCATAATGATGCTTATCCTGTTTATCAAAGGTAGCGACATCAAAATATACAGAACCATTACTTTCATATGCAACTCCATTTTCTATGATTTTTTCAGTAAATGCTATAATTTCATGTATGTATTCACTAACTCTTGTCAAAACATTTGGCCTTAATACCTAAAAAAATATGAATTTTTCAATACAATTAATAAGTGTGTAAAATTGAAATCAAGAAAATATACTTAATATTACATTTAAAGAATCCATATCCTTATGAAATTCCATTTCCCAATGTTGTGACAATTTGGTAAAAATTGAATGTTCTGTAATAGTAGCTCCTTTTGTTTTATCCAACCATTCTGCCAAAGGATCTCGTGCTACTTTTAATAATAACTGTATCCATAGAAGTTACAAAGATAGTATCTTTAGATAAATTATTAAATAAAATTAATAATATTATTGTCGTGAATATAAAATTAATAATATTATTACTACTTATAAACTTATTGCTTATACTCTAATAATATAAAAAAAAATATATGTACTTCTTGATATTCCTTTATTTTATCCTCATCTTTAAGCTTTACTGCATTTTCAAGATTTCCAATAGCTTTTTCCACATTGGACAACAATATCTCTAACATGCATTTTTTATCTGCATCATTTGTGTTCTTTACTGTATCTTCAAAAATACACATTACATATTTCACATCATCCAATATTTCATCAAGAGTATGATTCTCTTCTATATATTTCTCATATAAATAATTTTGTCTAGCCCTCTTTATAATTTTATCATCTATATCAGTAATATTCATCACATACAAAACATCATATCCAAAATAATCAGATAACACACGCCTTAATATATCAAAAGATATATATGATCTAAAATACAAAAATATTTAAAAAAATATATAAAAATAAGATATTTAAATAAAATATGTATTATTAAAATATATAATTTCATATGCAATTTTATACCTAGCATGTCCCATATGCGATGCATCATAAACAGTAGGTCCGCAACTATACCATAATATGCGATTTCCAAATTGTGGAATAAATATTTCTTTCTCTCTAGTTAAGCTATTGTATAACCTAAGAACAGAGCTGTTCTTTCTTTCTGGTGGCACCCAGGATGGTTGTATTCTCTTTGCCATTTTTTATCTATGAAGTCTGAAAATACTCAAAAGTGATAAAAATTGTAAAGTATGCGCATCTTAATGCTTTTATATATTACTTAAAAAAATATAAAAATCGTACAATAAAACTTACCTCTTTAAAAAGCTTAATCCAAAGATATTTTAATATAAAAATCTTTTATAAAATTATTTCCAAAAAATGTTTACATAAATGCACGAACAAAATGAAGAAAAATTGTCAAATATATATCACGTGTTCGAAATTCTGTCGCAAATTTTTATTCACTTCCACATACATAATTTTTTGAATATATTCGCATATAAGATATTTTATATTGATATTAATGTATATATATCTTAATTTAATTAAATAATACAAAATACTATTCACATTAACTATCATATAATTCTTGTGTGATTCACTCTACAGCAACGCCTATTCTATCTGTAATCTCGAATAGTTTATCCACTCAAACTTTAGTATCATACTGCAGAATGCAGCTTGATCTAATGATATTTCAAATTTGTAATTAATAAACATCAATTGTCTCTCAAAAAACTAATACTTGTCTACTTTTAAGAATTATATACAAAAGTAAAAAAACCATATAATGAACTTCATGTATAAATTATTAGTTTTAACGTTCAAAACTTGCATCATCCTAACCAAATTTGCAATATGGGACAAAATATAAATGTAGATTTAGTATCTTTCTTTATATATTCTTTATCAAAATTTTATTGTAAATAAAATTTATATAAATATTACTTTATGATATTATGTATTAAATCTAATTATATTAGAATTATAAATTTATTATATTGATAATACTACACATCAACACACACATGCATATATATATAGATATATATATATATATATCGATCTATTATTAAATTAAATTTATACTTATTACACAGATTAATATATTCAAGTAATTTAAAAGACAACTTTAATCACTTAAGTAAATAATATGCTTTTTATTCAAAATTATAACTATATATTATATATTATTATAATTAAATATTATATTAAATATAATAATAATAAAATAAGTATATATTATCATAATTAATTAATATATTATTATAATTAATACTTTTTCATAACAATTTTTTCCATATTTCAAAAGTTCTGTAAGAGGTACATAAAATGTTATAAATTTAATATGATTTTAAAAATGTGATAATATGCATAAAAGATATATTTTATATATTTAAAAATTTACATCAATTTATTATACTAAATTTAAAATCATATATAAATATATAATATACAAAATATTAATCTTGTGTCATATATAAAAATATAGAACGCAGTATGTTAGCTACATATATATAATATAATTCTGTTTTATCTTTGTGTTACTTTAAGTACAATAGTTTTTTATATTAAATGATTTCTTATCATGCTCTAGATTGATAAACTTTTAGAAAATAACATTCTATAGAAATCATGTTTACTGATTAATAAATATCATTATTAAATATTATTATTTGATTAAGTAAACAAGAGTACACTCTATTGTTAAGTACATTGTTATCCTCTTTTTTCTAGTAATAATTTTTTGTCTAATTTTTATAATTTAAGTATAATAACAAAATATTTTATTTAGAAGTGAATATTGAATTATCCATGTTCCTTAGCTGCCTCTTCTTTCCATTCTTTACTTAGTCTAATAAATTCTAAGTCACTGGCATCCTCCGAACTTGACATATTATCATCATCAAAATATGGTTTTGTAACTTCATTAGTTTGAATATAACCTAAAAACATGTAAATTAATTATAAAAAATATAATATAATCCTATGTTAATAAGTATTTCAAAACCATAACACCATAACAACGCGACTGCAGCTTCATGTAATTTTCAATGATTTTAAATTTTTAGTAAAAAGTATTTTCAAAAGTAATTGAACGTAGTAGTGTTAAGAGAAACTGAAAAATAAATTCTTCCAAAATTTACACAAAATTTATTTAAAATATTTTTATATGCACTACTTTCTTATTTTCAGATTTTACATTTCAGATATTTACCATTTAATGGTCTTCTAAATATTTCAATTTCTTTTTCATCATCATCAAAAAAGCTTGTACCACCTTTTAGTAAACTAAATGTATATTTATTCCAATTACTTTTTTGTGAATTTTTAGAAGATTTACAATTGGTACAAATAAAAATAGAACAAGCAACAATTCCCAAACATATAATACCTGTAAAAATTGATTTATTATAATAATGTATTATGATTTATTATAATAATATATTATGTACATTTTATAAAAATATTAGTCATCTTACTTGTGAGAATTACGAAAACAATTCTAGGCATTCCTAAAAAGTTGTCGTTATATTTTAATTTAAATATTATGTGCGAAACGCTATGTACATCTGGTGTGACAAACATCTTAGTCTGTTGAATATATCCGGTTGCGCTAGCACTTATAACGTGAGTACCAGGTTGAAATAAAAGCCAGTAAGCCCCATTTGTTCCACTTTTGACATGATGCATTGATTTATTGTATGATAAAATAGCATTTTCAATCGGTTCATTGTTTTCGTTAAGAATATATCCTTTTATTCCTTCATTAAGCCTTTCTATCATTATTAATAAACTATCTTTATTATCTTCCCATATATTTCTTGAATCATCTGTGTTACAACAAGTAACATATACATCCAACATTAAAGTACTCGTATTTAAATAAAGATAATCTATCAAAGAATGTTCTCTTTTACCACTTATACCCATTCCAGCATGAATTATTCCATTAGATATATTTAGATTGTAATTACATTGTGGATTTTTAGAAATCATATGAATATTATATTTCGTATATAATAATGCTAAATCTTGTAATACATCATCATCATCGGTATTGTATATTTGTTCAAATATTTTTCCATGTTTTCCCGCAAATGGAATTTCAATATGTTGTGAACCAATATTCAAATTTATTGCTAATACAGCGTTAATATTTTCAAACCATTTAATTATTGTGCTTGCTTTAGTACTTAATCTATCATTAATTGGAAATTGTAAATTATCCACAATGAATGAAGAGCAAGTTTGATTATCATTAGAATTTTGAGATAAATCTGGTGCAATATATATCGTGAATTTGTCCAGATAATTTGTAATTTTAGTATCTTTTTGATAATGGTCTAATAAATATGTTGCAAAATGAAGTAAAATTTTAGCTGTCACAGGTGCACCACTTGAAATACCAGCCACAAAAGCTATAGATGGTCGGCCAATGCGTTTGTAATTATTTTCAGTTCCAATTTCTAAACACATTATTCGAGTACCCGTTTGCGATTTACTAATAGTATGTAAAGTTGATAATTGTGAGTACTTATTATTCAAATCAATCAAAACTTGATTTATAATATTTGTTTCTTGATCATTGTCATAATTTTGGTATTTTTCTTTGTCTATATGACGTTTCGTCAATTTAATGTGAAGGTCAGTTATGCTTTGATCACTTACATGAACCTTTATAGATTGTTCTATATAACCTTCACAGAAAAATGTTAATGAATATTCACCAGGAAGAAGAATAATTTTGAAATAAGCCATGTTTTTGGAGACATGGTAACTATTGGTTCCAATTGTAACTACAGCTTCTCTTAAAGGAACATGGTCAATGTCTGTTACTATTACTCGAACACCAGTTATAAGGCTTTGAATAAGTTGTTTCAAGGGCAATAAATTTTCACGCCAAATAGTCGGAATAGATTCTGGAGGTGGATACTTACAACAAGCCATATTAATACTTATCTAAAAATATATGAAATATAGATAAATAAATTATAATCATACAAATAAAAAATTATTTAATACATTAATGAATATTATATTACTTACTACTGGTATTTTATATTCATTTTGTATATATTTCTGTACTTTTTTAACATCATTGTTGAAAAAATTGCAAGTTCGTTTTTGTATTAAATGTTCATAATTTTTAGCTAGAGTTTTATACACATTTAAACTATCATCTGTATAGCTATAAAATAAAAATATATTATATTTTTATATATTATTATTTTTAATTAGATTTTGTCTTTTAATATATCTGTGCAGTAATTTAAATTTTCATTACCCGATTTCAAGTGCTCCACTTTCTAATATTATTATCGCGTCATATTCTTCACTAGATAATATTGTTTTAAATGCATTAGTAATTATATCCAATTTATCTGAAGTTACATTATTATTATGTAACAATAATTTTTTGCCTATCTCATCATCTACAATGGGATTACATTCTTGAACATTTATTATATTATCAAAACCTGGATCTATGCCTGGCACAAAATGCAATACAGAATTATTCAATATTCTCTGTATAGGAGGATTTCCAATTTGATTTCCCATCAGTATATGAGTTGCTAATCGTAACAGTATTTCTCTACCCATTGGTTGAGATGCAAATAAACCTCCAATTAAACCAATATGATATTTATTTTCTTCAGGTGCACCCATCTATGTAATGATAAATTGTTTAACATTTTTTATAATCCAAAAAAATAAAATTTAACGTAAATGACTATCTATTATTTAAATAATATACTTACATCATATGTAACTTTTAAAGAATGAATAGCCATACTAACTAATGATTCCCCAGCTTGAAATTCTGCAATATTTGGTTGATGATTTTCTAATTGACTAAATCTAGCACTTAACTCAGCATTTTTTAAATAAATATTCTGTAAATTTGCTATTAATCGAAAATCATAAGCAGATGACCTAAAATAAAAAATTAATACATGAAGTACAAATATATGTATGTCAAATTTTAAGGAACAAAAATTTATATTTTCATATAAGAAAATAAATATACAATTTAAAAAAATCTATTCATTAAAATATTCAATGATAAGGAAAAATACTAAATTATTATACAGTGAAACATTCTACTAATCTGTTCTGTTTCTATAAAAATAAAATAAAATAAAATAATAAAATAAAAGTTATATATTTTGTAACATATTAAAATATTTACTTTAATGAAGTTTTTAAATTTCTTCATAAAATGAAATTTTTATGACTCCTTATCATATACAATCCTTTTTAACATTCAACAATATATAAGTATCATTATTCTGGAAATTGTAATACTTATAAGAATTGTATTAAAGTATTTTCTACTCTTAAAAAAATCATAAAATTATATATTATACAGTACCAATGTTCAGGATCATCACGCATTAACGTGAAGTCCAGTGTTACTTCTCCTTCTCCAATATTAACACCATCTGTTATTGTTACAGTTTGTATTTGAGATTCATATCCTACCGCACTAACTGTAACATTGTATTTGCCTGGAACTAAAAGACGCCAATAATCTCCATCATTAGCTGCATAGATGTCATGTTCAATTCCTTCTACAGATATTTTAGCATTAGGTATAGGATTTCCAATTGATGAATGTATTACTCCATGTATTCCTTTACGAGACTATAAATAAATATGTTTAATTGTAATAAAAGAAATAATTATTTCTACAACATGTTACATGTTAATATATATGAATACCATTTCAATTAAACGCAGAAGAGATTCTCTATTTTCTAACCAATATTCTGGTAATTCAGTTGCATTTGGAAATTTTGTACATCCCATTTCTATTGTAATTTCAAAATCATTACTATGAATGTAATTATAATCTTGCATGCCTCCACTAACAGAATACCAAGCAGCCCCATTAGTTATACCATTTGGAAAACTTTTCTCTAGCATATTTTGTACTGTATTTCGTCCATTTGAAAATGAAGGACATGGTTCTCCAAGATGCATATAAGGATGAGCATTTGAATATGTTAATGCTAAAGCTTTAAAAACTTTATCATCCGGACTTAGATTTTCAACATTATCATATGGATAATTTGCTACTAATGCCCCTCCATGAAAATTAGCAGAAAGTACAAATGGAATACTTGCAATCCAATTCATTACTGCTTTTGTTTCAGGTTCTTGCTCTTTATTATACTGCAAAATGTAAAAATATAACTAATAATTAAAATTAATGGTAATTGGTCAATATCTAATAAATAAACATACAAAATGTACTAAATATATTAAAAGTGAAACAAAATTAAAATTAAAATTAAAATTCATACATCATTCGTTTCATATTGATCAGGAAAATTTCTGTTGAGATCAACACCTTTAGCATTAGCTCTTCCGTGAACTCCATATATAGTTCCTTCTTTAGACATTTCGTAACCATCTGGATTCATACTTGGCATTACATGCAATCTCACATTCTTTAATATTTTTGTAACTCTTTCATTAGTTTCAAAATTTTCACAGAGATACTTTAACAATAATAATAAAATTTCTCTGCCAACAACTTCATTTCCATGCATGTTTCCTATATATTTTACTTCAGGTTTATTTTGACTATGTTTTCCAGGATTTTCTGTTACTTCCATAACATATAACTGTCGTTCTTTGACAGACTCTCCTATACTATAAAGTCTTGTAATATTTGGATAATTCAAATTTAATTCTTTCAAGTAATTTTCCATTGCTATGTAATTATGATGTTTGAATTCCGTATTATGAAAAAAACCATACTTGTCAATAGGTCTGATAAATTCTTCAACTTCATTTGATTTTAATTTTCCTATAAATTAACATAATGTTACAATAAAAATTGCCAATAAAATTTATTAAGATTATAAAAATAAAGTTTTAAATAAAAATTACTAGTTTAACAAAAAATATCTGCAAGTATATTTCCTTTAACAAATTTTTTATATAAATTGAAAGATGAAAAATAAATCAATCAACATAAAATTTCAAAAATATTATTAACAATTATTATTAACAACACAAGGTATAGAGAACATAAAAAAACCAAGAAACGAAATAGAAAATAATATATTACAATAATATTTAAAATGTTACACTACTTAATGGATGAAAAATATAGGAGAAGGCTGGAAAATATTGGAGAAAACTAACTCATTATTTGAAACAAATATAATACTTTATTTTTTAATTTTTTAGATATTATACATTTAATTTGATTATATTATGCTATACATCAAATTACAAATGTAATTATAAACATCACTCATTGTTTTACATATTTTTATTAATGTAAACAAAATTACATAATAAATATTTATATTGCATACTAAAAATGTTTAGATATATTTTTCATACTTCATATATTTTTTTATATATTTTGTTCATTTCATAAAAATAAAATTATTATATTCTTTAAATTCAACTAAATGAAATAAACCTTCTATTTCTAATTTATAGCTTTTCGACTTTATTAAAATTTAATTTTCATTGATTTTTGTAATATATATTTTTAAATAAACATTTAACATATGAACATATGAAATTTAAAAAAATACTAAAACGAAATGTTTATAATTATTTTTAAAAACTTTATCTATCATGTTATTTGTTCTTGTAACTGTTCATTAATATAAAAGAGAGCATTCAAACAAGAAATAAATCTCTATTTGTTCAATAACATAAAAATTATTCAGCTAAAAAATATGAGTGTTATAGGAAGATATGTTTTTGGTATGTAGTACTGTTTGATTCTTACAATACATATATGATTTAATTTCATATTTACAAAGCATTCAGACCAATTATTTAAAATTATAAGCTTATTATATTTTTCTATATATAACATTTCTCTATAAAGCTCTAATGCTTTTGCATTTATTTTTTCCCATATTCAATATAGAACAAATAAATGTAAAAAAACAAATAAGTAATATAAATATAAAAATATAAAAATAATAAAAAACGATTTAAAAAATTATGTTTTGTGTATCTTTATGCTCCAATTACCATATTCCACAAATAACTTTTATTGTAAATTATGGTTTTTCTGCGAATCAGAAAATTTAATTTTTTTCTCCATACCTTGTGTGTATCTGTTTTATACTTGTTTGTATTAAACAAGAAGATAAACAATAACAACATGTATGGAAATGACAGTATCAAATACTCTTGTGATATAATAGTATAATCATAGCAGTGCTGTAAAATGAAAATTATCATAATAAAATAATTAATAATTCACTAAAAAAAAAATAATAAATGATAAATTTATGTAAACATAAAAAAATAATAATTTCGTTTCAATTTCACGAAAAAATAAATAAAAAAACAAAAAAATATTTTAATACATATATAAATATAACTAGTAATTCATATCATCATAGGATGGTACTAGTTTATACAGTGCAAGATATTGATCAGGAAGTGGAAGCATGTGAACAAAAGGTGCATCTTGATTACCTTGATCATCATAAGTGTCCTGTGTTAATGTGAAATTGACAATAGATGGTTCACCTGATATTACTGTGACATTTATTTGTTCACTTGGAAGATATCTACAATCATAAAGAATGATATATAAAATATGTAATATCTTATGTAAAATTACATAATCAAATTTTGTTAAATAAAATAATAGTTTCATTACAACATTATGTATACTCACCCCCATGCTTCTGCATGAATATTGTAAGTTCCAGGTAGTAACAAACGCCAATATTCTCCACGATGTGTAGTGGATACATTATGGTTAATTCCATGCACAATGATAGTGGCTGCTTCTATTGGTTCACCATTTATATCTCTTACAAGACCTGAGATTATATAAATACAAATTAGTATAGTATATTAGTGCCATAATTATTAATAAATAATTATATTTAATGAATATTTAGAAACCTTTTACTCCAATATGGGCTTGCTCAAGATATTTTATAAGGGACTCCTTATTTAATCTCCAATATTTTGGCATATTTGAAGCAGTTGGATATTTACAACAACTAAGCTCAAATGTTATTTCAAATGCATTAGAACGAGCGTAATTAAAATCTTGCATTCCTCCAATAACTTCGTACCTAAAAGAAATAAAATTTAATAAATTTCTTTTATAAGTAATACTTTTGGAAAACAAATCAAAATGTGTATGCTTACCAATATGCACCATTGATAACACCTCCTTGAAAAACATCATGACTACATGCATTACCTGTACGCATTTGTGGATGATTGTCTGCATACGTGTGTGCTAAATATTTGAATAACTCATCGTCTGGACTTTTACTTTCAACACAACAAGGAAATGCACTGCTAAAAATCAATATGTTGTATGATTTTACATTTATTATTACATTATATAATAAAATTTTCATAAATATATTATAGTTATTTATTATATTATATTATATGAATACTATATTTATTACATTATATTACCCAGAATCATAGGGATAACTTGCTACAACAGCACCTCCATGAAGATTTCCTGATAATACAAATGGTTCTGTAGCAATCCAAGTCATCATAGCTATTGTTTCATTTTGACGTCCATCCAATATAGTGCCTCCTTTTTGAAGATAATTAGTTCTTTTGTAAAATTGATCTGGAAAATTTCTGTTTAAATCAACATGATTTGCATTTTCACGGCCTGAAAAATCTCCTTTGGAATTACAGTTTCCTTCCTAAAAGTTCAAAAGTATATTAAACCAATATATATAGATTTATAGAAAATGGACAATATAGATATAGAAAAAAATAATAAAAAATAAGACCATTACCACTGATTTTTCAAAACCATCAGGATTCATTGATGGCATAAGATAAATATCAGTATCATTCACTAATTTTGTAACTCTTTCATCTTTCCCATAATTATTCAAAAGATATTGAGCAAGATAAACTAATAATTCTCTACCAACAGCTTCATCACCATGCATATTAGCAACATATTTCACCATTGGCTCACATAGTTTCCGTTCTTTAACATTTTCAGAAATTTCAAGAACTAACAGATCTCTACCTTCCACAGATTTTCCTATAGAAATCATTTTGGCCAAATTTGGATATTTTAGAACCAATAAATTAAACAACTGTTGAAGCTCTTCATAATGTGTGTAATGTGGGATGATAAAATCTTCATCTAATTTGTTCTCAGAATTTATAACGAAACCATTAATAACTCCAATGAATAAGAAAAAAAACGGTACTGTATTATATATTGTACCTACGTGTACCATATTTGAATATTTGTTAACGTAAAAATATTATAAATTTTTTTATTTCAATGAGACAATCTACACAACCAGTATATAAAATGTCAATATAACATAGATACTGATGACTGATGACGTCTGCAAGTCCGCAAGTACGAGCGTAGGCAGAGTAGGCAGAGTAGGGTAGGAAACTAAGAAACTATATATATATCGTACTTATTAATATATACATATATATATATATACACATGTATGTATATATACATCTTTATACCACATTCGCATTAAACAAAGATTTTTTTTTCAT